TAATATAATTTCTGGTTGAGTTGTTATTTTCATACAGCTATCATTTGAATTCCTTCTTGTTGTACTGCAGGGTTATAAGTTGTCTCTCATGCCCTTTTTGTTACAAAGATGGACGAGGGAGATGCAGATCAAGGTTGAGTGTTGTGATGTTTATCAGATGCCACTCGGAGTTCATAAATAGAGCTGGTGAGTGCTCAAATTGCCATGAGTTTGTCTTTCTGACAAACCTTTTGGGTTCCAATAGCACAGCTCTTGGTTTATTTTATTTGGTTTGGTTCTTATTTTTTACATATTTCACAGTTCCTCTTGGTAACACAAAAGCACCACTGCAAAAACTTGTACGGAAACTGCATTTGTTTTGGCATTCAATGTGGACAAAAAGGTTCGACAAAACCCTATTTTAATCCTCAGAATTTATCCCAAATTTTTAATTAAGCCTCTAGATTTTTATAAAGCAAATAAACATTTAAACTTAACAATTTAAGAAATTTAATCATTTTCTTTACGGTAAATTTAATGGTTATTTATATTTTATTTGTGTGAATAAGATTAATAGTCACCACACATAGACAATAGCATGTCAATAGCTTATCCATATAAGTGATGCACAAACAAGAGTTCAGTCTACCGGAAAGAATAGAGGTTATATTACCAAAATTACTAAGTTTAGGAGTTTATTTTCTTTACTAAAGATTTAAGAGCTTAATTGAGAATTTGAGATAAGTTTGGGGGCTCAATGTAAGATTTTGCCAAAAAGTTTTGGAGATGGAGGAATCCCTTCTGAAGATTTAACTATTGTTGTAAGTATCTAGTTCTATCTAGAAAAGAAACTCCTGCAAGAACGCTACTTTCATTGTAAAAGTTTTGACCTAAACTAGGTCTGGTGGTTTTTTTTCTCTTTAGGATTTTCCACGTTAAAAACGCTGGTGTCTTATTATTGTTATTGCTTAAATGATTTTTTTGACCGAAATTATTGCTTTAATGTTTGAATTTGGCTATTTATTGTGCTAGAACAGTCATTTGGTGCCGCTTTACCGTCAATTACATAGAGACACACCAAAAGAAATAGGCATACACAGTAATGATCATGCAGCACATAAGACATTGATATTTGATTGCCCTGGTTATGCTAATCTGTTCACATTGTTGGAGTAGATGAAGATTAGGATGCGGATGGAAGATTTGGAGCTGGAATCCAAATATATTCTGCAAAGGAAATTTTTTCTTCACGAAAAAAATTAAAGGAAATTATAATTATCTTAATGATATCTCCGTATAAACTGCCTCTTATACACATCTAAATATCTACTATTTCTAATCCTATCCTAAATAATGGGAACCATTTTGGATCAGATTCTGACGCATAAACTCACACGGTCATACCCGTGAGTGACACCCAATTCTCATTGCAAATAAAAAAAAATTAATTTAATACTAAGAAAAAAAAAGTTTATATTAGTTTTAATTTTTTTTAAAAAAAATAGAATCTCAATGTTAAACTATATTATTTTATTTAATTAAAATTTAATTTAAAATTTAAAAATTTATCTTATTAAGTTTTGATTTTTAAATTTCAAAACTGATTATATTAAAATATATAATAAATTCTTAAATTTAAATACTAATATCTAATATAATAGATTTTTAAATTTTAAATTAAAATTTTACTTTCTGAGACTTTAATTTTTTTAAAAATTAGAAATGATACACATTATTGTCTAATACTAATTACTTAATTTATTTTTGTGACTTTTGTCTTAATTTTTTACTAAGTGA